TCAAGTGAGATAACTTAATTTTACTACACAGTAAAGACTTGATTTTACTTAAATTGATGTTGATTGTTCATGTAAAGTTGAATAATTAAGATTATTTTGTGTTGTGTGCGCGTGGATATACAAATTTGAAGAACTATTCTTGTAAGAGAAACAAGTAAATAACTGCAGATCATTTTAATTTACATATATAATCAAAATTATGATTGAACGGGTAGCTCTTATCTACTGCTTGTTATTGATGTTAATGCTTTCAACAGTACGAGGAACATGGAGAAGACTTTGTGGACATGTTGGATGGTATCTTTTCATTTGTTCTACTGGATACCCGTGACAACAGTTTTATAGTGGCTCGGGATGCTATAGGAGTCACTTCCTTGTACATCGGATGGGGATTAGATGGTAGTGTTATGATATATATTATAGATGTCCCACTTTTGAATTGAATTAATGCATTCTTAATCTGTACATGAACTGAATAAACTGACAAGTTTGGCACTTCTCTGGATTCAGGGTCTGTTTGGATTGCATCTGAAATGAAAGGGCTGAATGATGATTGTGAACATTTTGAGTGTTTTCCACCTGGTCACTTGTACTCTAGCAAAGAGAGAGGGTTCCGAAGATGGTACAATCCTCCCTGGTTCTCTGAGGCTATTCCATCAGCCCCTTATGATCCTCTTGTTTTGAGACGCGCTTTTGAGCAGGTATCATTCACACGAAAGTGTATGATCATCGTTGGAATTGGAGGTTCATCTGAATTTAGTACAATCCCTGAATTCGATATTCAAATTAGATCCGATCATAAAGAATATAAAACAATTTTCAGTCCCCCCTTCTCTTAGTTTCATTTTATTTTGATTTTTCATTAACATAAAATTTTTAAATATGTATACTTATGTATAACATAAAACTTTATTCTTATTTTTCAATGTTATTTTTTGTAAATATTTTGTTTAGGAAAGTTAAAACTACAAGTTTTTATCAACTCAGCGACTTAATCCAATCCAAACTAAATTTGAGTTGAGATTAATTAAAAAATCTTGATAAATTCAACCAGATTAATTTTAATCGGTTCAAATTTTATTTTGGTCAACCTGTAAGCACCCTTGTAGCAATTATTGAATCACAACAGTGTATATTAGTACAATCAATCAAATGCTCAAAAATAATATTTAAATAACTTCAGCATTTGATTGGTTAAGTCTATGGCCAGTGCAGTGACGCATGGATTACCATTTGGAAACTTTTCCATGAGTACGACTAACACAGTGAATGTGACTACAGGCAGTCATAAAAAGGTTGATGACTGATGTGCCTTTTGGGGTTCTGCTATCTGGAGGTTTGGACTCTTCGTTGGTTGCATCCATCACTTCTCGCTACTTGGCAAACACTAAGGCTGCAGAGCAATGGGGATCAAAATTACATTCATTCTGTGTAGGCCTTGAGGTATATATCTAATCAAAATTATTAATGACATTGAAAATTTAACTATGAATTTTATTAACTTTGCCCTTTAAGATTGTATTTGAAAATTAAAAAAAAATATTAAATTTATAAAAAAAACACTTATTATAATGAAATAAATATTTTTTTAATAAAAATTTACTATTATTAATTACTTATCCTCATATTTTATAGACCAAAGTTAACATTGTTCTTAATTATTTCTTTAATGTTGTCTTGATCTTTTGCTATCTTATGTTGAATAGGGCTCACCGGATTTGAAGGCTGCAAAAGAAGTTGCAGATTATCTAGGCACTGTCCACCATGAGTTTCACTTTACTGTTCAGGTAGCTACCTGAAATAGTACTTTTCAGCTCACAATTTGAGGCACTTCAATTTATGAAATTCATAATTAGTATTACTAAATCATTTAAATATGGTTTACGCAGGATGGCATAGATGCCATTGAGGATGTTATATACCACATTGAAACATATGATGTGACAACAATTAGAGCAAGCACACCCATGTTTCTTATGTCTCGGAAAATTAAATCACTTGGTGTTAAATGGGTTATCTCTGGAGAAGGCTCTGATGAGATCTTTGGTGGGTATTTGTACTTCCACAAGGCACCCAACAAGGAGGAGTTTCACAAAGAAACATGCCGCAAGGTCATGAATTTTATCATGTTCATTGTCATGAACAATATAAGGGGTTGAACTACAGGGGGTAATAGTAAATTTTTTTATATGCAGATCAAAGCACTCCACCAATATGATTGCTTGCGAGCAAATAAAGCAACATTTGCTTGGGGTCTTGAAGCACGAGTACCATTTTTGGACAAGGCGTTTATCAATGCTGCAATGAATATAGACCCAGAGTATAAAATGGTACGAGTAAGGAATGTGACTAGGTTGCTTCATTTTCAAATTTTAACCTAATTTTATTAAGTTAGCTTACTATTTCAATATGTTCAGATAAAACGAGATGAAGGACGAATTGAGAAGTGGATTCTGAGGAGGGCCTTTGATGATGAAGAGCATCCTTATCTGCCAAAGGTACTGTGCAATTTGCCGCAATGTCTATAGATCCTTGCAAAATTAATTGGTTAAACTAACATCTAAACATTTAATTTCATGCAGCACATTTTATATAGGCAGAAAGAACAATTCAGTGATGGAGTTGGCTATAGTTGGATTGATGGCCTTAAGGAACATGCTGCAAAACATGTAATCAATTAATCCAACCTTTTTCTCTGCAATTCAGTGATGGACTTGGCCATTGTCATAAAATAAATGTTGCTTATAATTGGTTCTTGACATTTTTCAATAGGTGACTGACAGAATGATGCTTAATGCTTGTAACATCTACCCCCACAACACCCCAACAACCAATGAAGCATATTACTACAGAATGATATTTGAGAGGTTCTTCCCTCAGGCAAGTTTATAATCAACTCTTACATATGAAACAATGAGGCAACATAAATTAAGAGAGGGTAATAATACAAATATTTGTGTTTCTTAATTTGGTTTTGCAGAATTCAGCTAGGCTCACTGTTCCTGGAGGAGCAAGTGTTGCATGTAGCACAGCAAAAGCTGTTGAGTGGGATGCTGCTTGGTCTAACAACCTTGACCCTTCTGGCAGAGCAGCACTGGGAGTGCACATTTCAGCTTATGAAAATCAGAACAATTTAGTCAACAAAGGTGTAGAAATTGAGAAGATTATACCAATGGAAGCTGCTCCGCTTGGGGTTGCAATCCAGAGCTAATATAAAGCTGTGACAAGGAATAATTGGAAAGGGCTGAAGATAATAAAGCTAAACGTGAATGAAAAATTTGCATCTTCTTGTATAATTTTATCTAGGCTAAGCTATAAGGATAAGGCTTTCAAAATGTGTTGCATCTTATATTATCTTCAATGCTGTGATTTGAACCCTTACCTCTTAATATATGGGTGTCTAAGCAAAGTGTTTCTTTTCTCAGTTCATTATGAATGCAAATTCCATTATTTCGGTAATGTAGATTACCGTATTTTATTTTACTTTTAATTAGCTGAAGCATGTTCTTCATCTCATAAAAAAAAAAATTGAAGTAAATGACTTTCAAGCCTTGAGATACTGAAACGATAGAAATGCATTTGACTTAATATAATATTTCAAGTGACACCACGAGTACTTGAAAATTCCTACCAAGACAGAAAACATTAGAACTTGGAAGGACCAGGTTGTGCAATGAGATGCATGATGCACATTATAATTGACCTAGGTACCTCCTTCTTAATGGAAGCAAAGTACCAGCCCAAAATTAATTCACCATAGAAAAGGGAAGGAACCAGCACAAAAGTAAAAGTAACATTTTTTGGTCAACAAAAGTAAAGTAGCATGTGTACTACAAATTCCATAGTTGGGCCTAGTGGTAGTTTTGCGAGACACTAGACAAGCCCAGTGATGACTGGACATTTAAGGGCAAGCCCAAAAACAGCCTAGTTCCATTTTATATCTTGTCTCAATTGTGGGCCCGCTACGAACCTCTTCTAATTTCTATTCCTTGCATTCTTACATAGAAGTTTTATTAAGACATTCATAGCCCAAAAATTTGACGATTCAATGTGTAAATACTGAGCCTGCTAGCACATTGTTGTTGAAATTTACATAAGAATCCAACATTTTCTCTAATGAAAAAAAGATTCAGATGATCTCAATGTAGCAATAAAATATAATTGGACAATAATAGTCTCGCAGATTCCCGTCAAGCACCGCTTTACAACTCTTTGTGATAGAAATATTTAACTTCGAACAATTCTAAAGATAATTAATAAATAATTAAGTATTTGATATTTTTCGTCTCTCAACACACGCACACATACTAATAATATTAAATGAGTATTCAGTTAATTGCTCTATTTATTTTCAAACCAATCATTATTTAAGTTTAGCACAAAAATTAAGAAAGTTATTGAATCATTACTATCATATCAATATCATTAAAAGGATGTAAGTTTTAAGTAGTTATTTTTCCGGTGACATTGGGCACAGTTAAATCTTATGCTGTATTTAAAAGTTGGGTGAGGCATTTATTTGAAAATGGTGATATCAATACATTAGCTTTAACAGTTTGTAGAGTACAAACCATCATATTGGGGGAGAGGTATATTTAAGATATGGACAAACTATCAATATAACAAGAATTTATGATGAGATTAATAATTTTCTACAAATAAAGAACTAAATCTAAATACAAATTATGCAAATGTCATTAACCAAATCTTATAGATAAGCCCTTTTACTGATTTGTGTCCAAGCTAAGCTGTCATTCATCCTCTAGAACTTCCATTTATACGTGCTGAAAAGTGAAACCTTTCAATTAATATCATAGTAATGGAATTTACTCTTTACATTAATAGAGAAACAAAAAACATTTTCGTTTCCTTAACATCCATAACTTCACAGTTGCAACGAGTTGCAATCATGCAACCCTCAATTAATGCATCATCACCAACTAAAACTTATTTAAAGAAAAAAAAAAAAGACCATGGTAATTGGCTAGTAAAAACATAATTTAGTAGAACAAAGCAGCATAAAATAGTTCATTCCAAGTATCAGGCAATCCAGGAAGGCACCAATGGCTGCAATCGACTCTCTCATGGTTAGCTCTTTGCTGAGGATTCAATTCACCACTGTAAATGGAAGGATGTCCATCCTTCCTTAATTCTGATAACACTGTGATGTCCAAAAGATATGCAGAGTTTCTCATCTCTCTAATAACCATATCCACAACCCTCATTTGTTCAGGGTATGCTCCAGGGTATCTTGTGCCATTGATTGGTGCAGTTTCACCATAGCAATTCTTTGTTGTCATCACACTTGTCCCACCCACTTTCCATTCATTTGGGCTGCATATTAGTAATAGTACCATCTAATTTAGCGTGACTTGTCCTCAATTTTGAAATAAAAATAAGGGCTCAAAAATGTTTTTTATCTTTATATTTTTGCAAGATTTTATTTTTAGTTCCTTATTTTTTTGAATCTCTGATATTTTTTAATTCAATATTTTTTTTTTATTTTTATTGATATGTCAACTAACAAAGAATTGACGTGATAAAGATTGATATGTGACAATTTCTTAATTAGTCATGTTGTTTTATAGACAAAAATGTTGAAGTTAAAAAAAAAAAATCAAATTTTCATAAAAATGCAAAGATAAAAATATATTTAAGCCTAAAAGTACAAAGATAAGCTTGCAAAATTTATGAATTTAGTTTGGAAAACACAAATCACTATTTTACCTTTTATTACATATCAATGCTTCTTTTTCTCAAGTATATCAACGCTTATTAATGTCAAAAGCCTACATGGGTTAATGCTACTCAAGTTAGTTGGAAATTATTGAGGTTGTGAAGCCAGCTACAAAACTAAAAAGCTGTTTTTTTAGGTTCATAATCAAAATTGGAGAATCATCTATTCACGGTTGCAAACCCTGGACATCTCCATGTGCTATGCCACAGCCTTGCCCCATCATATTATATAGCACATTTACTTTTGGCCCATATCTGATATAAATATAAGTTGTTTGAAATTGGTGTGCATGGGAGATCTTCTGATATTGTAGCTTTTTTCCAATGGGAATATGCTAGATATAATTTTCAGAGAGACCAAAAGACACATGTTATACGTGACATGCACAGATAAAAAAGAATGGCTTATTGAGGAGAGGGAAGAAAAATGAAAAATTGGGAGCTTTGATTGTACTAGTTTCATAATGTATATGGATAGATGTTTTATTTCACCGACACTATTTTTTTCCAGGACATGCATCACAGTTATCCTGCACTAGGAAAAACGACCTTCTCATGATCTGACAGGGTTGTTGTGGAAAGGCAATAAAAGAACCAGTTGCAAACTCATTCGACCATGAATTACTTTGTGTGGCGACAAAGAAAGTACCTTTGCATAGTTTTGATAACCTTGATTTGATAAATATATTGATCTTTGTTTAAGGTTGCTATGATAATATTGTCAATTAGCTTGACTAGAGTTTATTTGAACGTGATTTTATTCTTGAGGAATATACTGAGTCTAAATTAGCCCCTATTAATCAACAATGTTGTTATTTATGCAGAGGGTTTTTTTTTTTATATAGATTCAAATTTTTTTATTACCTCTTTTTTTTTGTTGGAAATGATTGTTTGATACTCCATTTTAGGGTGTTATGTAAGTGGAGAAAAGAAAGAGTTAGAAAAAAAAATGCAAAAAGATGTGATCGATAATATGATTGAAAGGAAAGAAAGATAAAACAAATAAATATAAAAAATCATGTGTACAAATTCCAAGTTTTGCTTTTTCTTTGGATAACATGGCTGATATAGTTTATCATAAACTCTGTACATTGAAATTCCGATTTATTTATATAACGGTGTGACCAATCATAATGTAATGCTGGAGTCATATGCCTAAAACAATTGTAAATATTAATTAAAAAAGAAAAACTTAGTAAGGATGCAAATATATGATAGAGGAATTTATATCCTTGAAGTTGTGAAGTGAAAACGCAGCATGATGTAATCACCCATGTAAAATTAAGAAAGTAGGATAATGACATTATATGAATTACTATTTAATTAGTCACTAGTTAAAAAGTTTAACTTTTTTTTTTTGGTATCAAATAGATTTTAGTTCTATATTGAGCAAAAGTGCAATGTAGATTTAAACCTATGACAGAGACATCATCAACCCATAAATTTCAACCACGAGATACAACTTGCAATAATCTTTTCGACCGAAAAAATTGCAGTAATCTATGAGCAAGCTAGTAGAGCCAAGTCAAAAGAAGGGTCCTACTCCCAGCCCTAAACACAGCTCATCAGATAAAATCAAATGGGTAAGTGCAGTTTGACTTGAGGAGAGAGTTTGGCATTATGCTTCATGTGTGGTTAATTATCATTACCCAAATTGATTTAATCAATTTTCACACAAAAAAGTTTAATCAATAATTTACTATTATCAATTATAAATATGAAGGTGCTTGTTCATAGTTAATTATAAGTAGATTATTAATTAAATAGAACCAAAATGTCTTTGTTTCTCATGTACCGAACTAAACTGTGTTTTCCTAGGGCAAATTTCTTGTTAGGAGGTGCTAAACCTAGAAATCAAATACTAGTGCCAACACAATAATGCAAGAGAGAGAAAGCAGTTGAAGATAATAGAGTCAGAGGAGAGTCCCTACTTGTAGTGTGTGGGAGAAATTGCCTGGAAGAACACTTTGGTTCTGCTTCTATCAATACTGGTGTCCACCCAATTAGCCCATGTTTTCATACCTCTTTCCAAAGCTGCCAAGCGATCCATATCTGGGTAGTATTTACCTCTTAATTCTACATAATCCCACCTGCACTCAATTTCTCCAAAACCAAATTACTTTAAACTTAAAATAATAAAAAAACAATATTTAATTATTACTGTCTTCTTCAATAAAAAAATTAAAATTTTATTTTAATAACATGCGTCGATCTTTAACATTGTACTACATTTAATATTTGTAGTATTTAGGTTTTATTATTTTTATTTTTAAATCTTTTATTTGCCTTGAATAATCATGCTAAGGGTACTAACTAGGAAATTAAACATTAAAAAGATTGAGTTAAATGAAAAATCATAAAAAAAGTGTATTCATAATATTTTTTCATCAAACTTTTTTCTTTTAATACCTTAACAATGACAAGTATTTGCCTTTCTTGGAGAAGTTCACAAAAGGGAAAGATATTGTTGCCTACCCCTTAAGAGATCCTTGATGAGTCCACCAATGTCCTGTGTTAAATGACAACACATCAGCACTCTTCCATACGTCACCATTCCCATCTACCTTTTCCAGCCTCAGAATTCTCTTCCCTTGGACCACATCCACCTCCACCAAATAAGGAGCTCTGTAAAATGAAATGCTCACACCATAGTCCTGCACATACCATATCCAGCCCAATTTAAACTTCTCTTAAATGCTTCTTTTTTCTGCACAGTCTATGCCATACAGGATAAAACGTGAAGATGATGTGGCTGCATTTGCATCAACTTGACAAATTTAATTTAATGCCTGACAGTACTTAGGGTCCCCTCAGAGAGAGATTTTTTCACAGACAAAAACCATACAATTGGACTCTTACATCTCATATTTTAATTGACACTATCTCACAAACACTCTTTAACTGATTCTTTGTCCCGTTACAAAAAAATATTACCCTACTCACCTTGATCTTGAATGAAACTTAACAAAGATGGAAAACAAACTATTTACGGCTGGAAATTAGAAAAGTTGTGCTCTTCTTAGCTCTTATTTACCAACCAAAATTCCAAAATCTCACTCAGACAAGAATTGGGAAAGTGGTATTTTGGCTTATATAAATATTACTGAGAATGGAAACTGTATGGATATGTCAGTGGGGTATTATTACTGTGATTACTCATTTACTGTTCAGAAATTTTTGTAGAGACTAACCAAGAATCTGAAGGTTGAGAGAGGATCTCCTCTGATCAACTGTGTTTGTGTCTGAGGTGCTGCAGCAGATAACATACAAATCAAAGACTGCCATTGGTTCCTTCCTAAAGAGTCACCAACAAATATCACGGTTTTTCCTTTCATATTCTCCAGAAACTCCACCCCATTGAACCTACCATTACACAATGCCACAAAACCATTCAGATTTTGCTTAGCAGGATACTTACTAGTAAACTAGTAATGCATTAAGGTATTATACATATAAGACCATGCAAATTCAGTGACATAAAAGAACACAACACCACCATAATTTTTTAGGATACATATATACACATTCTATTGTTGTCGTGTCGTGTCAAGTGTTGGTGTTTTGTTTGTACCTTGGGAGGTTATAGTTGAGGGGCTTCCAACGGTATTTGAGGTAATCAGAATCTGGGCGACCGTACATTTGGCAATTGAATTCTGGGTCTATGATTGGACAGCTAGAAGATTGGTAAAGAGGGTATGATTCATCACGGACCCAAGAACCCAAGAACAGTGAACAAGTGCTTTGGTTGGCTTGGAGCATAGGTCTCTGGTGGTTTATATGGTTATGGTGATGCTTCATGCTTAACAACAGAGCTGAAGAAGCTACCTGGCATTGAAAGCAGACTAGAACAGTAAGAGAGAAGAATGAGGCTACAACATAAAAGGAAGTTTGACGGCAAAGAAGGGCCATTGCAGAATCTAATGTGGGAGGAGCAAAAGAACAGAAGAAAGGTGAAAGCCAAAAGGCATAGACATGAAAGCAAAAGGAGGTAACTGTTTTCAAATATATATAAAAAAAGGTGGGGTCGTGTTGCTTTGGGGTGTGTCATAAATTCTAAAGAAAATTTAGAACTGTTTTGTTGTGTGCATGTGAAGGTGGATGGACGTGGTCACGATGCAACTTTTTAGCGCCGTACAGTAAATTTGAATAATTATGCAAAGGAAGGTTAATTTTTACCCCCGGGTCATACATCAAAACAGTTCAATTATATAAACATAAAAGCGTGTTAATATTTTTTTCTTAATTTTAGTTTTAATCCTTATATTTAAAACTTTTAAATCTTGTTGGCATGATTTTTATTTTTAAAATTAAACTATTTTTTAGTTAATAATTTAAATATATTTAATTTCAATTTTCAGTTTCAAATATTAAATTTAAATTACATAAATTACTTTTTACTTCTTAAATTAAATTTGCTTAGTTACAAGGATGGCAAGGAAGGTGGAGGTGCAGAGAAAGTGAGAGAACAGTAGTGATGAACTTATAGCAATAGAAACAATGGTAGTAAAAATTGTGATAACAAGCTTAATACTAGCAATTACATAAGTAATATTAGCATTCATGTTGTAATGATATTAATGATAGTGGTCACAAGACAAAAAGGTAATGAAAATGACGATAAAATAACAATGATTATTATTATAGCGATAAGAATCATTAAAGATGATGATATTTAATCTCAATTGTGATGTAAATGACGAATGGTGATAAAAAAAATATCATTGGCCGATATAGATATTTGCAATTTGTTTCAATTCGATGGTTATATGTCTTTCATGATAGTTAAGAGAGTTAAATAATTAATTTTGGGACTAAAATTAAAATCAAAACTATTTGTTTTGGTTTTAAAAATTAAGCTAAAAAGTGTTTAAAAATTAAGTTATAAATTAATTATTTTTATTTTGAAAATTGTATTTAAAAACTAAAAATCAAACACTCAACTGCCCTCTTTGTAACGATATCAAGTTTTAGTTCTTATTGTAACTTCAATTATGAAAATAATTTAATTCAATTTTAAACATTCTTTACTGTCTAACACATGTTTTTCTTCCATTGTTATTTTGAATAAAGAAACCAATGATAAAACTATAAGGAGTGAGTGCAAAATTTATATAATTATAAAGGTATTGTTGATTATACATAACACACATCATAACATCAAAATATATTTCCAACAATATATATATAATTACATAAGTGCGTTAAACGCGTACCTGATGAGAATGCACGATCCATAAGCAGTTCTTCTTCACAAGTGAGTGTGTACTACTCTCTTCTCTGATTGTTCTTATCGCACACAAGTAACTGTCTAATGGGGCAACAGTTATGACCTAATCAGATGAGAGCAGGAACCTCTCACTAGGCACATAGAATGGTCCAACTCATCATAGGTCATTCTCACTAAAAGTCCAAACATAAATCTATACGATTAATAATAATTATGCATATTTATTTTATTTCATAATTAATAACAAATATATCTATAATAATTTAATAATGTTAATTTACAAATTAATATAAATATTAATATTAATGTTAAAAAATCTAACAGTGAGGACCCAAGATTCAATTAAAATTTCATTTTATCAATTGCAAAAGGTTGGGATGGTGATGGTGCTATTTTTAGTGTCAAATGACATCCACTTGCACTATTGCTGAGCTCATATACGATGATGATTCTGCCATAAATTCCAAACGTTACCTTCTATATACTGGAGAATGGGCATTAGTTCTATAATGGAACTCAAACGCATTCATGAATGTTAGGGGCTTACCTGAATCTTCAAATAGGGAGATGTGGTGGGAGCTTATGTAGATGGACAAGTATATGTCAGCAAGCTGCATGCATTTCCGAGGAAACACCACATAGGTACTATTTGCTACACCAGCCGAAGCATGGGGTTCATACAAGTTCTAAACCTAAGTGCTAATCAAGTGTAGGAATTAGGAACCCATTTAAAGTTTAGAAATTAAAAATATATACCGTAAAATCTCATGTGAAAGACTAAAATTTTTATTTTTTAAATTATTATAATTATTTTTTAAAAAAAATTAATGTTTATTACTTCTTTTTTTTATCTAGATTACATGCATGTATCTTTTATTAGAGATTTTGTTCAAGTAAAAGGAAGATCATAATCAACAACAAAACTTTCTCTCTTATTATAAGTTAAAAATAACTTATAAAAACTATAATATGTTGATAAGGTTTTTCAAATAAACTCTATGTCAAAAAGCTTTTTAAAATAAGCTAAAAATAACTTAAAGAAAGTCATAAATTAGTTTTCAAGATTTTTTTTTTATAGGCAAAACAAATATTATTAAAAAGAGTTCAAGGGGAACTCAAAACCCATATACACAGAAAAAATTATTTACTCAGAGAAATAAAAAGCAAAAATATACTTATGCAAAATTAAGACAGATGCAATTTCGTAGATTCAAATACCAATCAGCTAACATAATAACTTCTCCCTTACTAACAAGTGATAACCATTTCCAAGATCTCAGAATAATAGAATCTAGGACCTCCCTCTCATCCAAAACACCATTGAAAAATACAATTCTATTTCTATGCAACTATAAAGATCACACTGTACTTACCCAAACAATTAATAAGCATATTCCTTCTCTTTTACTACATCCAACACCAACCCAAGAAAGCAAGTGAGTCGATAAATCTGAAGGCAAAACCAGTGAGAATCCAAGCCAACGCGCAGTAAAGTACCAGATTTGAGATGAAACTGAACACGTTAAAAATAAATGAGTTAGAAGTTCCTCCAAATCATGACAGAAGCAACAAGTTATATCATTAATTTGAACACCACGATCAATCAGTAAACCTTACAAGGAAGTGCATTCAATAACAATTGTCAAGAAAAAACTAGACACTTAAGAGGGACTTTTCCTCTCCATAACCTTTACAAGGCATCTGCCGTACACTGATCTACAATATTAGGACCACTAAAAAGTTCAAATAGCTATGAATATGCAGATTGCACTGAATAACAACCTGAAGAATCTGCCCTCCATACCCATTTATCTTCTTGTAGTAACTTAATAGAAACTCGATCTACAAACTCCAACAAAAGATTAAAGCTTAAGATCTCATGTTGAAAGAGTCCTCTTCGCCAACTAACATTCCAAACCCACCTAGTGCCATCATGAAAACCATTCTCCAATACACATGATTTAGCATTCCTCGCCACCGCAAATAATCACAGAAATGCTTCACACAATCGCACCCCGCCTACCCACTTATCTCTCCAAAAAAGAGTGTGTAAACCTGTACCCACACTTCTATCAAACTTCTCATCCAGCAATGAATTCCCTTGATAAATAACCTCCAGCAAATCACGCCACCACAAAGAACATCTGTTGTGAACTGATGAACGCTGAATAGAAGAAGCTAATCCTCCACATCTAGATTCTGACACCCGCACCCATAATGAACTAGAATAGTTAACACCTCGCCATAACCATTTACCAAGAAGCGCTCAATTAAACCATTGCACATTCCTAATGCCCAAGTCATCATTCTTCCGCGGTCTACATACCGTTTTCCATTTCACCCAGGGGATTTTAGATTCATCCTTAACACTCTTCCATAAAAAATTTTGTTGGATAGTGACAATCTCCTTTATTACCAACTTCAGCACCTTAAAAAAGGATAACGAGTGCAATGACATAGAATTAAGAACAACATTAATCAAAGTCACCCTACCTCCAATCGATAAATACTCATGCTTTCATGACGCTAACTGCTTTTTAAGAGCCTCTAACACACCCTTTCATGCACTAGGCTTTCTCGGGTTAACACCTAACTGTAACCTGAAATACTTTAATGGAAAACTTCCAATCTTACAATGTAGGAACTCTGCAACCAAGTTTTTAAAGTCATCACCAGTGTTAATCCCCAATACAAAAGATTTATGAAAGTTAATTTTTATACCTGACATTAATTTAAAGATACGCAATACTGCTTTCAAAGTCCACAAATTCTGCACCGAAACCTCTCCCATAATCAATGTGTCATCCGCAAACTGCAGCAAAGAAATATCTAGTCCCCCTACCCCAATCTTCATACCAGAGAACAACCTACAAGTTACTGTCTTCTGCATAAGAACTCCTAACCCTTCCGCTGCCACAAAAAAAAGAAAAGGGGCAAGAGAATCCCCCTGTTTTAGGCCCCGCTCAATATGAACCTCTAATGTAGGACAACCATTAATCAAAGCTGATAGGCTTCCCCACACACACAAGCTTCCATCCAACTGACTCATTTGTCTGAAAATCCAAAGCTACGTAACATAAACAAAAAATATCCCCACTCTACCGAATCATACGTTTTCTCATAATCAAGCTTTAACCTAAAACACTTCTTATTATACCTCCGCACATAATCAACTGCTTCAGTAGCCACAAGCACACTATCTAACATATTCTTTCCCAGAATAAAGGTTGATTGTTCTTCTGAAATTATTAAATCCAAAATCCCTTTCAACCTATTTGTCAAAAGCTTGGAAACAATCTTATAAAGACAACCTAATAATGTTAGTTTTCAGGATTTATTCGTAGATTCTTTTAAGTAATCCTTTAGTTAATTGACTTTAAAATGTTTGATAAAGTTAAAGGTTAAATTAATTGATAATAACAAAATGTCATAAAAAGACATAAAAGAAAGAATTATGTTAAGACTTTCAAAATGTTGCAGGCTACTTAAATAAGCTCATTTAGCTAACTCATCTAATTTAGTTATAGAATCTTTTATGTTAATTAAATAAGTTAAAAGCTGTATTTATTTTGTTTTTTGTTAAGCATACTTATAACTTTATTATCGTCATATTATTTTTTAACTGTATTTACTTATTAATTTTTATTATCGTCATATTATTTAAATTTTTTTAAGATCATTT